AATCGAAAAGAAACATAGATTGGCAAGTTATTATATCAATGAAGTTTGGCTAGGGAAGCTGAGCTATTTAGTTGATATTTTCGAAAAACTTAACGACTTAAATTTGAGCTTGCAGAGTGAGAATTCAACTATCATAACTACAGCCAGTAAAATTCAAGCTTTTAAGAATAAGTTTAGTCTCTGGCAAACTGAACTGAATAAAAACAACACCGACATGTTCCCTTGCTTTAACGATTTTATCAAGGAAAATAATATGAATATATTTACATTTAAAAACATCATTTCCAATCACATTGAAAAGTTAAAGAAAAATTTTTCGAGAAGATTCGAGGATTTTCCTGAAAACGATCTTGGTTGGATTTGTGATGCATTTTCCTTTGACATATGCAGTTCAACGCTTCAAATTAGTGAGAAAGAGCAATTGATAGATCTAATTAGTGATTATACTCTTCGAAATCAATTTAAGACTCAGCCTTACCAAACATTTTGGCTATCCGTGGAAAAACAATATCCCGTTTTATGCAAGAATGCCATCAGAGTGTTAATACAATTTGCATCAACCAATTTATGTGAAACTGGATTTAGCAAACTAGTTTCAGTAAAAACTAAATACCGCTGGCGTTTAAACCCTGAAGATGATATGCGAATTGCAATTAGCAGCATACAGCTAAACATCGATGAGATAATTAGAAACTTGCAGCCACATACATGTCATTAAAGGGCAATTTACTGATTTTTGTGTTATACAAAAAGTATTTTCTTAAAATTATAAATGAAATTAATATGAGTCAAATATGATGATGTTTTCATTCGATGAAACGAAAGAAATGCGCGAAATATACATCGTGTTTGTGAACATTTATCTCTAGGGGTCACCAAAAATGTTCTCTCTACAAAAGGGGTCGCAGTCGAAAAAAGTTTGCGCACCACTGCTCTATACCAGTTAAAAAGCAAGCAAAAATAGTAAAATATTTGCAAAATTTACTTTGCAGTTATTTACCGTTTATTTAATTATTTTGGCGTGTCCGGAGCAGTTGGTATCTCTGGATTAGCAAAGCTTTCCTATTTTGGTTGTTGTTGTCGTAGACCATTTAGGCATGTGGAATACAATTGTTTTTGTCTTCCAGTGCCTATAAGTCTCACCCGTTTATAAGGTGAACCCATTCATTCACCTACAGATCGTAATTTTGACCTGAACCAGAGAACAATGAATCTCCAATCCAAAACTCGCAGAAGTTTAATTTGTTATGGGAACATGGAGGACTTTTTGACCCTACAACTTTAACACTCACCAGTCCCCATTTATTACACGGGGAGTTTTTAGCTTGCTGGATGCGAACTCTCGCTCTCACAAACGTGAGCCCAGCGCCCTACCAGCAAGGCTATCTCGGCCTTCATATTTTGGTGTCATCCACATAATGAACTTGTTATTACCTGTTCACTTTCCTTCCACATAAGACTCTCCTTGCTAAATGCATACTTATAAATAGATTTGAATTAAAATTGTAACTTAATCTATTTAAACTATTTTGAATATTATAGATACAAAAAATTTTTTAAAATACCAATTTCAGTTTCAAATATTTTTAAAGTTTATGTTCATTAACATTTTTTACCTTCATATTTATTCATTAAGTAATAAAACAATACTTTTTGTATAAACTATGTAAAAGCAAAAATATTTTAACTAAGATAACTGCTCTTACTTTTTACCTCTTTTAATGAGGCTGTATCCAGGATAAATGTCATACTTTTTATTTTATGTTTTGTTCAGAAATGAATTGTTTTAATGGTTGTATTTAGGCCGAAATAAGTCATTTTTTTCCCTTGAGCAAACATAGTTTAGATAGTTTAAGTAAATTAATTTAATAGAGTTAATCCTGATTTTATCTTTTTATGCTCAATTATTGAAGATACTACTTTTGTCGAATGCACTACTCGATCAAATACATGACAGTGCAAGTAACTAAAAGAACGTTTTATTTCGTTTTGTACTAAAAAATTTTGATACACTTTTAATTCCGTACTTTGTGCACGAATTAAGAATTGTTTATGAAGCATTTTTAAAGCCAAATAAAAAAAGTTTCAGTTTTCTAATTTTCTCATTTGACTATAGTAAATTTCACTTCTGGAGTATTAAGTAGTAATCGAGTATAATTTATTGGAGTGCAAATACCTTCATAGAATTACGAATTTGTCTATTTTGACAAATTTTAAATTTAAGCAAAATTTGAAATTTAACTATTTTCATTCTGCTCTTCGTGGGTGGTAAAGCATTTCATTTATTTATTTGAAGAAGTTTTTATAGGAGTTTTTAAAGAAAATTATTTAAAACCACTTTTATTGGCTTTGAGTACATGGTCATGCAAACAACTTTCCCTGATTTTAAATTAAAATCAAGATTATAATTTGAAAATTATTCAGGTTGTGTAATTCTTCGGACTTATTTTATATGTACAGTGCACAAAAAAAAGAGAGAGAAAGAAAAAGAAAACTGAGCTTTCTGAATAGTTTTTGATAGCATCTTCATGTTTTAGCACTCAATCTTAATAATTCAACGGGGTGATCTCAAATATATTAATTAATTAGTGCAGATGATATTTTAAGTTACGAAATCAGACTCAAAAACGTACTTCTTCCGTATAAACATGCCTTTATTTCGATGGATCTAGATTTCTGACCCCCAAAATGTAAAGGGTAGCTGCCATGGGGGAAATATGGCCCAAAAAGTTTGGAAAAAAAACGGTCCAAAAATTTCACCCCTTGATGTTAATTTTACTTTTTACGTATTTCGACATTTCTCAAGAAATTTTTAAGCTTGTTGAAAAATTTTCCACACAATTATAAAATTCGTTAATATTTGATAAAATATCAACGAATAGTTGATGTCTAAAAAAATAACAGTTTCTTAAAATTCAATTTCTCAGGAACTATTAAACCGATTTCACTCAAATTTTGTAGTTTTCCATGTAACTTTAAAATTAGGTAAAAAATTTTAAATCTTACAATTCATTTTTTTCGACTATTATTAAATAAAATAAAAATATTTAACAAAATATATTTTTTGTATAAAATTATATTTGGGTAAACGCATTTTATAATTGTGTGCAAATTTTTTTTAATTCGTTTAAAAAATTCTTGAGATACGGTGAAATACACAAAAAATGAAATTAATATTAGGGGGTCTAAATTTTGGACTGCTCTTCTGACCAAACTGCTTGGAACATATTTCCCAGATTGCGGTTACCCCCTATATTTTGAGGATCAAAAATCCCGAAAAAAATGTATGTTTACTCAGAGAAAGTACGTTTTTGACCCTGATTTAGTTACTTAAAATATCGTCTGCACAAATTAATTAGCATATTTGAGGTAATCCCCTCAATCCTTAAAGATTGAGTCTAAGAACGAGAGGATCCGGTCATTAGATCAAAAGTTATTCAGGGTGGTCCGTTTTTTTTTTGACGCACTGTACATGACAGATTTCTTTTTTAAGAATGAAATAGTAATTGAAAATTTAAAAGTATTTTCAATTTAAGTATAACACTTATTATTGCTAAAAATGTATATATGACTAATTCCTACTGTTAGGAAAAAATGATATCATTAGCTAAAATTTTTCTATATTGCAGAAAGTACAGCTACAGCAATTTACACTACTATAGCCATAGCTTCATTTGTAAGTCTTATAATTACTGGAGCAGTCGTTTATTACGTGAAGAAAACGTGAGTATAAAAGTGTTTTATGATAGAATGAGCAAAACAAAATTCTTTTTTTCTAAAATAATCTTTGAACTAAGGATAGAATTTTTACCTATCATGCAATCTTCGTTTAATTAATAGTGCTTGTCAATCATAACTAATAGTATTTTTTAACAACTTCCTTCTTGCTCCCGTTTAAATAGGAGTGTTCATAAGTACCATATAAAAAAGATTAAAACAATTTATATCTCCACACATTCCAGGAATCATATACACCGAAGAGTCATTACATTATGACCACCCTGCTAATAACATATAGGACCACCTTTAGCCCTCAAAACTGCTAGCACCCGCCGTGGCATTGATTCCACAAGGTGCTGATAGGTAGTCTGAAGTATCTGGTACCAAGCGCTCACCAACAGGTCCTGCAATTCGACAACTGGTCCTGTAAACATTGCGAGGGGGTAGCGTGGCAGCACGAATTTGGTTTTCCAAGTAGGACCACAAATGCTCTATTGGATTAAGGTCAGGTGGATTTGGGGGCCAAGATATGACTTGAAAGTCACTGGAATGTTCCTCGAACCAATCCATGACGATTCGATCCTTATGACATGGTGCATTATCCTGTTGGTAAACACCATCTCCCGCAGGAAAAACTGTTGCCATGAATGGGTGAACTATGTTCAAGTATCTTACAGACGTCTGGGATTGTTCTATGAGGATTATGGGTCCTAATGTGTCTCATGAAAACATTGTTCCAGGGCGAGAAACCATGAAATCCTGGGCGAGCCCATTGTTATGGATGGAGGGTGGTCATAATGTAATGGCTCTTCGGTGTATATTAGTAATATAATAGGTAATAATTTGAAAACGACTTACTACCAACTTTTCCTCTTTTCTGTATCGCTAATCATTGTTATGTTAAAATACATAAGTGCAATTTATTATGTTTTCTGGTTTATTAAGAATTACTCTTACTTATGAAATTAGTTTAAAATTATTCTAGCTACAAAAAAATGTGTTAATAATTCATACAGTGCAGTATGGTATGCATAAAATAAAGTATTTTTCTGTTACGAAGATTAAAAAAATTCAGCTTTCTTAATTTTGTAGTGTTTCTTGTTAATACATAAATACAATGCATAATATTCTTTGATTTAATAAGAATTACTCTTACTTAAAAAATTGATATAAAATAAATTTAGCAACAAAAAAATTTGTAAATAATTCATATAAGTGCATTCAGCTTACTTAATTTCGTAGTGTTTCTTAATGAAATATTTGTATTCTATCAAATACATAAATGCAATACTCTATATTCTCTTATTTAATAAGAATTACTCTTACCAACAAAATTGATTTGAAATTATTTTAGCTACAAAAAATTTGCAAATAATTCATACAGTGTACCATGGTATGTATATAAAATAAAGTATCAGTTTAAAAAAAAAAACCTACAAATTTGATGCTGCTTTGTCAGAATAATTTATTTTCTTTTAAAAATAATCTTGTAATTTGATAATACAATTACGATACATAATTTTTTTCAAATCATTTCTTTTTACAAACAGATTCCGAGAAGAATATACTAGTTATAATCAGGAATTAAAATAGCTTTCGAGCTTGAAGATCCTGAATAGTGGACGATATTTCAAGACATCAAATATAGATGATGAACTTTGGTGCAAATAGACAAATCTAAAAGGAATATTATGTAAATATGATTGTAAATATGTACTATTATGGCAATGAGAAATGTAGAATAAAAGACTAGAATAATTAGTTCATGAAACGATATTTATTTTCTGAGAAAAATATGTAACTAAAGTTAATGTGGTTTTCGAAATGCAATGGCGAAATGTCAAATAACTTATTAATAAAGCACATCCTGTGGAACTACATTTTAGATGTTCTATTGAACTACTTTCTGCATATAAAAGAACATATTATAGAGCCATGTGCTAAACCTTTTCTTAGCGGGTGAGTCATAAATGTATTCGTACGGAATCATAGTCAGGATGGAACAGAATAAAAAGCGGTAGCTTAATTCTGGGCCAGGCTTTATTTGTAGTAAAGTGTAGCTGCATAATTTTTATTTTGAATTAATTAGTGATATATTAAATAAATCAAACTATTATTACTCCTCATCCCAAATAAGCAGCTGTAGAAATATTTTACCTATCAGTTTTATTATTTTTTTTACCCTGATAGTCACCATGCTTAGAACAGCGTTCCCGAGAGCCTTGTAAATTTTTAAAAGTAGTAAAGAAAATTAAACAAATGATGATAATTTAATTTCTGTGTAACCACTACTAAATATTGTTTTCCAAAGAAAGTATATACGCATGAAAATTCCAGCTATTTACTGCTTTCACCGCATCCTGTGAATCATCAACTTATTGTGCATCATCATAGTGTCTACAGAGCAGAAGGAAAAACATTATCAAGACAATAAACTCTGAACTGTCAAAGAACTTTAAAATAATTCTTAATATTTACTCAATAAAATTTCTTAATATGTAATCTATTGTTTGTGAAACAATATTTTTCAATAGAATTGTTAATTTAGTAAATACAACCTACAACTGTAAATCACCCAAGCGATGTCTGAAACCCTTTCTTTAATTGCTACCATAATGTTGCTCATCACAAAATGTTTTTATACAATGTTTTTAATCAATTCTCATGATGTATGCGGCCCAGATGCCCAGTTTTTGGATAATAAAAGCAAAAAAAGCTATTTACTTCTTAATGACAAAGTAGTGTATTAAAATAAGAAATATATTCTAGCGTTAACCTTAATTTACCACCACTACTAAAATTTCTCAAGGATCGCGGGTGCCCAGTAGAATCAGGCCTGAAAGCGGGACGGAAAAGAGAAGATACTGGTGGAAGAACTATTTCAATATTAGATAATATTCGGGAGATGTTAATCTATTCTCAACAATAACAATTCACTGTAAAGAAAGTTTCCCCGGCGAAGAAGCAATTCATTATAAAAATTGCATCCGTTAAAAACAATTGGTAGTTAGGGATTTTTATTATTCCCGGAAAAAAACTAAAAAATGAAATTTATTTGCTACCAGTTTTTACTCTTTTCCGTCTCGATATTAGAATGCATATATGATTCGCCCGTTTCGAAGAAGTTAAATGTCGACTAAATATTAATGAAGCTTTTAATCTCAATTGAAATGACATACTCCTATCAGTTGGGAATCCTTTCTCGAAAAGAGTCAAATTTGGCTGGTACGGGACATCTATTTGCAAAATTTTCCCTATGATAGAAGCACAATTAAAATGTAAAGAATAAAATTTGTACTATACCAATATATATAATACCAATATATATGTACAATAACAATATATAAAAGTAATATGACTTATAAAAAATGCACAGTTGTACACATGGTAAAAATTTAAACACAAAGTGCTCAAGAAAAAAAATCTGTAGTAGCACTACCAGCAAATTTAAGAGTTTGATTTTCATTTTTAATAGTTCTTACGACTTCAGTTTTTTAAGTTCAAAGTCCTTTGTCTGAAAATCAAGATGAAGTTATTCACCAAGAAGTATTATTCCTCACAACACAATTTATGTCAACTCTTCAATCAAGATGAGAAAATTTTATAAACGTTTTAAAAATGCAAACATTCAAAAACATGAAAGATAAAAATAAGAAAATACGAGTGATATGAGATACACAAAGACAAGTTGACACTTTTTGTTAAAAGAAAAAATTTCTATTTGAAATTTGACTTCAGTATTGTATACTTTGTTTGAAAATAAAGTTTAATAAAATGACACAGTGGTCGTTATATTGAAGTTTATGACTTCAGTATTTGTAGGGGCATTTTTGATGGATAAAGGGCTGTATTCCCCAAAAGGAGGAAAACAGTCCCAAATCTCAACAATGCTTTACTGGAAGATCCAAGTTTGAAATAAATACTTAACCTTACAATTTTTTTAAATCTATTTTTGATTTTCACCTTAAAGCAGAGAAAAAACTACCATTGCCCCATTTTTTTAATTTTTAGATATGGGTAAACGCTGAATTTGAAGGGTCGGATCTGCTAGGAAAAAAAGGGGACATAGTGTTTGCCTGAACCATGTTTATTAAGGTCATATTCGGTATTTTTAATTTTACATTTAACAATGAAAAACCATTACAGCATCAAATTTAATATAAAATGTAATTAGTTCTATTATTATACCACAATATTATTTAAATTATTACCTTTGTTTATTATTCATGAGATAATTTCAGTTTGTCAGGAGGGTGGTACCATCGTAATTTCGATACATGAACTATTTCTTCATTTTCTTTATTGTGAGTATTCTTTTTATTTATTTTATAATTAGCATTTTTATTTATTTTATAATTAGCATATTTAATCTTTCCAAGAATTATATATGGACCAGTAAAAGTTGAGGTACGTTTCCGAGTATTAGAATATTTAAAATCTTCATGCATTACAGTATAATTTGGAGAAAATTCGATATGAGTGAATCTTGCATAATAAAATTTTTTATTTTTTTCATGATATTGTTTTGTTCTTTCAATAACAATTTTTCTTGCTTTTTCTATTGGTGGATAAATTTCATCTGATAAAGGATGATTAATTGACACAGTGCCAAATATTAAATAAGCTGGTGGAAATTCAGTTATCGAAAATGCAGTTAGATTATATTCTTCAGTTACTTCTTTTAATAATTTAGGCCAAGTAAGCTTTTTAGAAGAATCATTAATTTTACATTTTAAACATGTTACAATGGTTGGTCCTAAACGTTCAGCTGTTCCATTAGTTTCGAGTCTATGGGCTGTTGTTTAATTTTATGATGTTTAAGAAAGTAATATATATAGAGAGCAAAATAAATACAAAAAAACACGAAGAAAATTAAGAAAAACAATAAGTTTCATTTATTGCGCATAAGCTGCAAGTAAACAGAACCCATAAGATAAGTTCAAAATGAAGATGAAACAAAGGAAAATTACATACATATGGAAAGAAGGGGGGGGGGGG